GTAGACCACTTGCCTCACACGTACGAGGCCCTGCGTTCAATCCTCAGCAGCACACAGAAATAAATAAATAAAGGTACTGTGTCCAACTACAGCTAAAAATATTCAAAAACAAAGTAAAAGAAACAAATAGAACTGAGGCACATTCACAGGACGCTCTCTTTTCTTCCAACATATAGTGCAACGGTGTTACAGTGAAATCTCTTGAAATCATTTTCTTTAGCTCTTCCTCCTCTGACTCTTAACTGCTAAAGGGTGGGCCTGGAACGCCCCCCGAAGCCCCTCATGGGGAAAGCCTGGCACTCGCCTACAGTGCTTCTGGGAGGAGGTGGAATCTCTCACAAGGGGGTGCTTAGCTGGAAAAGTCAGGTCACTTGGTGTGCCCTTGAAGGGACACCAAGATCCCAGCCCTTTCCTTCTCACTCGCACCTCGCTGCCTCCCCCATGAGGTGAAGAGGCTCCTACATCATGTGGGCCTCCATCATCACCAGCTGCCACAACCCAGAGCAACRGGCCAGCAACCGTGGACTAAAACCTCAGAAACGTGAGCCAAAATAAACCTTTCCTCCTTGTAACTTGTCTCAACTTTTTGTCCCAGTGATGGAGAGCCGACACATGATGGTCCCATTCCATCAACGTGCGTATCTCTATTCCAGATCATGGGGACTGAATCCACATGGCTGCCCATCCTCAAAACCACTGCGGACCCGAGGCCAGACAAGAGCAAGTGTCGTTTCTGTCTATTTAACTCTCTCAAAGCACAACGGCCTGAGACACACGCCAAGCCCACCCTGTCACTCAGCAGCTAACAGGCAGGCTGCTCTGAGGACTCACTGTTTCTCCAGGTCCAAGACCATTCTGTCAATCTCCTCTGTGGAAGGCACGTGTGTCCCATGAAGGAGGCTGTTGGACGTCGGAAAAAACTCTTCTCCACTGAAAAGACAGCAAAATGGACTTAAAACACCACCACAGATTTTCACTTTCAAATTCGAACTAAATTACCACTCACGATCTCATTGTGTGACAAGATATATACATGCACTTACTGTGACATTCTTTTATTTTATTTTATTTTATTAGAGAGAGAGAGAGAGAGAGAGAGAGAGAGAGAATGAAATTTTTTTAATATTTATTTATTTATTTTTTTTTAGTTCTCGGCGGACACAACATCTTTGTTTGTATGTGGTGCTGAGGATCGAACCCGGGCCGCACGCATGCCAGGCGAGCGCGCTACCGCTTGAGCCACATCCCCAGCCTCATATTCTACTTTTAAATTAAAAAAAAAAAAGATATAGAATTAGAAAGGACCCACAAAATCACCAACTCCAACACCTTCATCCTTTAGATGCACAAAGCAATGGCCCCACGTGAAAGGGCTCATCAAAGGCTGCAGAGTTGGGATTAGAGCTCTGAGCTCTGGATCTCTTTCCACTAAAGCAGCAGCCTTCAAGCTACAGTCACCACGTTTTTGAAAACAGTTCTACTGGGACACATTCAGTCATTCACGGATCTCTATGGCTGCTTTCACATTGCACTTGCACAGGTGAGCAGCTATAACGAGACCACATGGCCCGAAAAGCTCCAAACATCTACTATCTGGTCCTTTATTTAAAAAAAAAAAAAAAAAAAACACCCCACCAGGGTTATGGTAACTCATACTTGTAACTCCAGAGACTCAGGAGGCTGAAGCAGGAGGATCGCAAATTTGAGGCTAGCCTCAGAAACTTACTGAGACCCTGAGCAACTTAGTGAAATCCTGACTCAAAATAAAAATGGTTGAGGATATAGCTCAGTAGTACAGAGTCCCTGGGTTTAATCCTTCAAACAAACAAACAAAAAAATTCACCCACCCCAGCACTAAAGCTTTCTGCCTCATAAATAATATCTACCTGTGCTAATCTGGGTCTTAGCTATCAACACTCAGAATGCCAGCTTAAAAGAGAAACAAGTGGTTAGTTTAACTGCAACAAAGTGAACAGCCAGGCCGTGTAGGTATGGGTGGCACACACCACAAACTCAGAGACSGGGAAGGCAGAGGCAGGATTGCAAATTCAAGGCCAGCCTCGGCAACTTAGTGAAATCCTGTCTCCAAAAAAAAGAACAGGGATGCAGCTTAGTGGTACGGCTCGCCTGGGTTCTAGCCACAGTGTGTGTGTTGGGGGGGGGGGGGGGGGGGGGGGGGGGGGGGGGGGGGGGGGGGGGGGGGATGACGAGGCTTAACTGCTATCAACTGAATCATAAATAGTGCTGAAAAAACAGAGACCATTCCTAGGAACTGCTAATAACCCACAGCTCAGCATAAAGTGTGCCAGTATTTACACCCTTGTATGTGTAGGTGTGTGCACATACACCCACATAAATACACACAGACCCCCAAGATGAGAAAACAACATACATAAAACCTATGGACTTACTGTTTTTCCCTCAGTCGTTCATAGGTTTCCATGTCAGGTTTGATCTGCTTTGTCAACCGATGATATTGGCGTAACTGGGCAGCAGCATAATCTAAAAATTAAATGAGAATCAGAGATGACATGTGTCCTTGTTTGGCCGTTACTATTCAGAAAAAAATCAAATTGTTATTAAGTAACATGTGCACAGACACTAATCCATGGTCTCTTATGCTGAATATGCCAGTACAGACACCACAAAGAAGAACTGGGCTGATGGCGCAGAGCCTTTTTCAGCTCCATCCTCTAAGACGCATGTGCATTTCCCTGGGGTTTAGGCCTCTCAGCAAACATTCCACGGAGGGAGGAAGTTGGAGTCTCCGCTCAGTAAAGCAGAAAGCTGAAGCCAATGCTGTCTGACTGGCTTATTCAGGAAAGGTCAATTTTACCTGAAAATCCCAGGTCAGGATTTTTCCTTTTCTTTTTCCTCTCCCACCTTTCTGCATCTTCTGCACTGATCTCCAGCAACTTCACCTTCTCATAGTCTTCCCCTCTTGCTGCACACTCCTAAAAAGAAGAACAAACTGTTTCCCTCAATTATAATTCAAGCAATTACTTAATCTAAATCAGCAAAGTCTGAATAAAGACATTAAGTAAAGCTAGGAAGGAAGTTCCTGTCCCTCAGTGTTGAAAGGTGTCCACAAGACAGACACAGTGGCATGTGCCTGAATCCCTGCAATGGGAGGCTGAGGTAGGAAGATCATGAGCTCAAAGCCAGCCTCAGCAGTTAGTGAGGCCCTAAGCAACTCAGCAAGGCCCTCTCTCTAAATACGATATAAAAAAAGGGCTGGGGATGTGGCTCAGTGGCTAAAGGCTCCTGGGTTCAATTCCCAGTACCCAAAAAAGAGAAGAAAAAAAAAAAAAGGGCATCCACAGATGAGCAACAGAAAAAAGACATTAAGTAATACTTTTTAAAAAAATGATTGCTATATGAAAGAAATCTAGGAATTTGATGTGGTATATAAGGGAGCATATGATACCTCTTAGTGTTTAAACAGGTATCAGACCCTATTTTGAAYGTTTTGCATACGTTAACTCATTTAATTTATAATTAACTCAAGGTTAAATAACTAGCCCAAAGTGTGGCAGCCAATGAAGAGCGGAGCTAAGCTTTCAATTTCAAAATTTGGCTGCACAGCCAGACTATCAATGACCATGTTCCTGTCTCAATGCCAGAGAATGATGGAAGACGTAGCTCATGAAGATAGTGGAGTAGTTCCTGACCTTTTTCTTTTCYTCTTCCTGCAGTTCCCATTCTAAACGAGCCTTTTTGGCTTCCCAGTTTGCAGGCAACTTAAGTCTTTTATCTTCTTCCACAACTTCCTGGTGATTCAATTTACGAGCTTCATTCTAAAACCATAAAAAAAGTTTATCAGGGCTGGGGATGTGGCTCAAGCGGTAGYGCGCTCGCCTGGCATGTGTGCAGCCCGGGTTCGATCCTCAGCACCACATACCAACAAAGATGTTGTGTCCGTTGAGAACTAAAAAAAAAATAAATATTAAAATTCTTTCTCTCCTCCCTCTCTCTCTCTCTGTCTTTGAAAAAAAAAAAAGTTTATCAGAAATACGAAAAGAAGGCACTAACGTTGTAGCTCAGCGGTAGAGGCATTGGGTTCAATCCTCAGCACCACAAAAATATAAATAAAATAAAGGTATTTTGTCCATCTACGACTAATCTTAAAAAATATATATGAAAAGAAATCCAAATAGATCTTGCCTTTTTTGAGGAAATTCAGGAAAGACACGATGACACTCCCTTTCTACCCCAGGCGCAACAGATAGCCATTACCCGTTAGTCAGCTTTTTGTTGCTGTGACCAAAAGACCTGACAAGAACGACTCAGAGAGGAAGTTTACTTGGGGCTCAATTTCTGAGGGTCAGTCCATGACAGTCACTCCAGGGCTCTGGGCCCAAGGAAAGGGGCAGAAGAGTGAGAAGGAGGAAATCTGCTCAGTTCATGGCACTCAGGAAGTCGAGAGAAAGAAGCTAGAGACAAGACAAATCCTCTAAGGGTACACCCGCCCCCTACACTTACCACTCAGCAGTCCATTCAAATGATTACTCCATCAAATGATTAATCCACTGATGAGGTCACAGCTTTTATAATCCAATCTTCTTAACTTAGAGTATTGCTATATTGCCTAACAAATGAGCTCTTTGGGTGACATTTTCAAATCCAAACCACAACAGCCACCATATGATCTTAAGCAAGGGAACAGCAGCCTAGTGAGGCATATCATCAAGAAAAATGCATCGGGCTGCACTGGTTTTCCATTCCAGAGCCTAGAGGTTAATATCAGATTTGCCCCTGTTTAGCCCTGTGGTCTCTTAAGTTGGATCAGAACAAGGTTTTGCAAAGTGGGAGACCTATACCACAGGAGCACTGGAAAATATTCTACTTTTAAACCTCGAAATTCTGATTAGTTCAAAGAAAAAGACTTAATTTGGGGCTTAAGAACTTTAATACCTCTCTTAACATCCTAATCATTTCTAAGACTCCCCTACTTTTGAAACATTTAAAAAGTTTATTTACATTGAAAGCAATAAAAGGAACTTGCCATTTGAAGTACTTGTGAAGAATCGATTTTTAAAACAAAAATAAATGCATAAAACAAAATAAGTACACTTTCTTATATAAAACTGAAGTTGGATGTTTCTTAGGTCACAGGATGGTGGCAGGTAGTCCAGAAAGCCATATTTCCTATAGATTCCAGATAAGCTTTCATTAATCAATCCAAGTAAATACTTAAGCATGTTTATATGTTTATCAAATCAACTTTTTCTGGACACAGAGAGATACTCCTGGGGCTGGCAGCGCAGTTGAGTAGTAGGACACTTGCCTAGTGTACATGAGGCCCTGGGTTCAATCCCCAACACCACCAAAATAGAACAAGTGCCAAGAGAGACACTGGTCTCAATTTCCACCCTTCATACACTCTTAGCTCTGGCAATGCCCTCTGGTTTGCCATCAAACAAAGTTGCATTTGTTGCTTTGAAGGAGAGCACAAACCACGGGAACGTTTCAGTAAGATGTTAAAAGACCTAGTTACAAAATATGAGTTTGTATCAGATGACTACAGTTCAAATTCAAGGCTTTGATTTGGGCATTGTCAAAGGCAGGGGCATTCTAGGATGAAGTAGCTTCAATTTTTAGATAGGAGACAGGAGGAACAGAGTAAGACTATAGTGTGTGTATATATATATATATATATATGTATGGTAATGTATGTATATATAGTATATATATGTATGGTAATACAGTGAGTGGTGTTTGGTCACTTTTATGACCTAAACAGTCTTCTTGATTTTGTCTCACTACAATATTTGGAGTGATGCTGAAGTTTTGTGGAAACATGGCCTAGCTGTCAGGCAGGCCACTCCAAGATCAAAGTCAGGGGATTTTTTTCCTTTCCCAGTTCCAACTGTAGCCAGCTGTTTGCTGGACTCTTATCCCTAATATGAATTCTCCTCCTTTGCATGTGCTCCCTCCACTGAGTGTCTCTTCCTCCTTCCCCTTTACTTGTCCGATGTCCTATTCTTTCAAACAGTGGTTTAGTGTCACCTCACTGGAGCCCCTAAAGCTACATTAATCTCTCCTCTGCACTCCCAAGACACTTTATTCCTACCTCAAAACTGCATTTACTGCAGTATAATTTTTGGTTATAAGGTTTTGTCCTTAAATAAATAAATAAGGTTGGTCCTCTACTTCAGAAGAGGCCTTCATCTAGCTGAACCACCACACTGTAGAGTTTCAGCGGTCTGTTGTTAGTCAATTTAAAAAGCTCTTAATGACTCGACACAGGTTTCTTCCAATTTCTAACTCTACATATTTCCTTAAGTAAAATGCAGCGCTTGTTAGAGCCACAGAGCAGGGAGGCCGAGAGTACCAGGCTCCCCAACTCAGCCCAGGCAAGTTAAATCCAGTGGGCGGGACGGGGAGCGAGCGATCTCGACAAGCTTTAGGGTCAGGAGCCGCGGGGACCGGCCTCTCGTTTCGGGGGAAGATCCAGCTCCGCGGTCTGACTAACGAGTGCGGGGCCGGACAGGGGCAGGTCGGAGCCGGGCCCCGGGCTACTCACGCGCTTCAGATGCAGCTCCCGGAATTTGCGCAGCCTCTGTTCGCGCTTCTGGGCGGCCAGCTCCTCCGCCGCTGTGCGGAGCCCCTCCTCAGCGCGGTCCACCGGCACCTGCTGTGAGGAATCYGGCTTCAGGCCGGGCTCGGTTCCAGGCCAAGTCCCGCGAATCGTCAGCCCGGCCACGACCCCACTGCCGACAGACCCCGCGGAGTCTGCGCTTTCCTGACCAGACGCCCAGGGCTCCACCTCCATCACTCACCCCTACCTCTCACCGAAACTCACCAACAAAACCCTCCCAAGTAAGGCCGACAGCACTTACCTGTTCGACTTCAGCCGCAGCCGCCATTACAGCCTTACTTTTCCTATTTCCGGCAACAACACTGAGCACTTCCGTCAGCCTCTGGACAGCCCTCTACAGGCCACGCCCCTTCCGGGCGGCCTCAGGACCAATCCCTGCCCCTTTTAACAGCGAGTTGTTAAAATTGGTCAAGGTTCTGCGCAGCCGCAGAAGGCTGCAGAGACGAGGGCAGGAAGTGACGCAGGGGAAAAAAGGATTGGAAAGTCCTCAGAAGAGGAAGGCTAGAAAGRAAGGGCTCAGAGGTCTTGGTAGGAAGTCTCCTAGCCTACGTGCTGTTCCCTAGAACATCAAGTTCTTCCCGACTGCCTTATCTCAGTAGAGACATGATTGATACTTGTTTTAAAGTCCCTCCCATAGTCTTAAGTTTTTGAGAGAAAGAGAACTTTTTTGGGGTGTTTTGTTTTGTTTTTTTTTTAGTTTTCGGTAGACACAACATCTTTTTTATTTATATTTTTTTAATATGGTGCTGAGGATCGAACCCAGCGCCCCGCGCATGCCAGGCGAGCGCGTTACCGCTTGAGCCACATCCCCAGCCCAAGTCTTTTAAGTTTTTTTTGACTGTTGGGGCCCGTCCAATCTTGTTCTCTTAACATGCYCAATGGAGACACAGTATAATTAATAACAGTGCTAAAGTTAAGATGAAGCAATAAGGTGCTGAGTGTACAAGAGAAATGTATGAAAATTATTGTTTCCTGACAACTGCTAATTACATGTAGAAATGAAAATGTGATCTTCCAAATGAAAAAAATATCTAACAATAACAAAAAAAATTCTAAGTAGGCAAAGTTAAATCTCAATAAATGAAGGATAATTTTTTCGAGTTAGAAGACTATCACAAAAAAAATCGCCAAAGTGAGTTTATAAATATGTTGCTCCCTTCAGAATCTTGAGAGATGTATTTAAATTTTGGTTCTGGAAAATGATGTGGCAAAATGTGTAGCTCTTTGGAGGGCACTTGCCTTGCATGTGTGAAGTCCTGGATTGGATTCCCAACACAGTAGGGGAAAACAAAAACCTAGAAGTTTAAAACCACTGAGTTTGCAAGACTGAGAAATATGAATACGTTGGTGGTAAAACTGAAAATTGGTCCAACCCCTTGAGAGTTAGAAGACAATATCACAATTTGGCAATTTGGCAATAAGTAACAAAACAATTACTCTTGGATTCAGCTATGGCTCTTCTGGGAATTCATCCTGCAGATACAATTGCATGGGTATGCGATGACTTACCTATGACGTTATTCATTTCAGGTTTTTGGGTTTTGGCAATAGCAAAAAAATTGAAAACAAACGACTGTCAGATTATGCTACAATGAAACACCATGTGGCAAATGAAGTAGTTCTCCACATATTGAGAAAGATCTCAAAAATATGCTGAGAAATAAGAAGTGTGGAACTGTGTACCTGGTATGCTACATTTAGAGAGGTGATAGATAGGATTAGGGTTACTAGGAATACATTTTATTTTGCATAAAGAACTAAGGGGAGGGGCAGAGAATTAAGGGCGGATAAAAAAGAAGGTAATAGAAGTAACAATCTAGGGAGGGTTACTTTAGAACCCATTAAATTTTCCCTAAAGACATTTTTGAAATATAGGATATGACTTCCTTTGTTTCGTGTAATTGATAGCGCCTGGGGTAAAGCTGGAGGGGAAGAAATAGAAAGGCTGAGTTAAATAGGCCCCAAGGGCTGTTTGCTGGGCTCAAGGATATTTAGAAGTACAGAATGATTTTTGTTTTCTTTTGTGGTGCTAGGGATCAAACTAGGGCTGTTAGCCACTGAGCTGTATGCCCAGCCCGAACTTTTTTTTTTTCCTGACACCTTCTTCCTGAAAAGACTTCATTGTATTTTATCATATGAAACACAATAATCACTCTTTCCTTATGAGGAAATTTTGGATCCAAATTGGTAGAAAATACATCAGATAGAAGTTGTCCACCTACCCTCAAAGATATTAGTATCTATTTGTGCTGTACAGTCTCTGCTTTTTGTTTTTGTGGGGGGTTTTTGTTTGTTTTTGGTGCACTATAATTGTTCTGCCTTATATTTCATGTGAATCTGGACTTATTCCCAAACTTCATATCATCTGACAATACTGTGAACTTATAAATTAAAATTAAATTCAAGAAAATCAATGAACATTTTGTATTTTTCTAGTAAGATATTGCTTTTTCAGACCAAAAAATATTTTAAAATGTGTTTTTGTGTCTATTACAGAATTGAAAAACAAGACCAATATGACTGGAAATAGCTGAGGCTGGCTTTGAACTCGTGATTCTCCTGTCTCAGCCTCCGAAGCCACTGGGATTAAAGGCATGCACACATGCTTATGTATTTTTCTTCTAACAACTTTTTTTTTTTAAAGAGAAAGAGAATTTTAATATTTATTTTTTAGTTTTTGGCAGACACAACATCTTTGTTGGTATGTGGTGCTGAGGATTGAACCCAGGCCGCATGCATGCCAGGCGAGCTCACTACCACTTGAGCCACATCCCCAGCCCCGCTTATGTATTTCTTATATTCACTTGTATTAGAAGTTTTGGGACTTAATTTTGGCAGGGTACTGGGGATTGAACCTAAGAGCACTTAACCACTGAGTGACATCCCCAAGCCCTTTTTATTTTTTGAGACAGGGTCTTGCTAAGTTGCTTGGGGTCTCACTAAGTTGCTGAAGCAGACCTTGAACTTGCAATGCTTCTGCCTCAGCTGCCAGAGTCACTTGGATTACAGATGTGCACCATTCACCAGACAGAAAAGCCGTCTGTGCTTAATGTGATACATGCTGGGCTTAAAAATTATATATAGGCAAGTCATTGTTGTGCTGAATTTGTCATATATCTGGACAAAAGCTTGAGGTAGGATGCTAAATTGATAGTAATTTGTCTTACCCAACTGTAGTAGATAATGCAAGGAAGCCAACAATGGCTTCTGGAAATTCACCTATGTCCTCTTCTCTCTGAAGCAATCACAATTACAGGTGCTGCCTATCCCACAGTACACATGYGAAGCAAACAGGGAAAAGAAGACATCCTCTAATGGCCCTATAAAAAAATTACCATCTTCCAAAAAGCAAATATCCTTGGAAGGAAGTTAAAACATTTGGTCAAAATATTGTGGATCAGGGCTGGGGATGTGGCTCAAGCGGTATCGCGATTGCCTGGCATGCATACGGCCTGGGCTTGATCCTCAGCACCACATACAAAGATGTTGTGTCTGTGAAAAACTAAAAAATAAATATTAGGAAAAAAATATTGTGGATTGAAACCAGGAGCACTACCACTATCACCAGCTTTTTTTGATGGTAGCTCCTTAAATTCCGACAGGCTTTGCAGCTACCTCAGGCCCTGGGGTTACTGGGATTACAGGTGTGTGTCACCACACCAAACTGATAAATATTCTATTACCTGCACTTTTCCTGGCCACTGATTCAGAATTGGCTAGTATAATAAAGTAACTGAATTTTTAAATACATAATTTATTGGAAAGTGCAAATAATGGACAGCACAGCCTGAGTGTGATACTAGAAACATTTGATCTTCATCCCATTCTTGGCAGTTCCTAAAACCTTTCCTGATAAAGGTTAAGTGATGTTAATTTACAGTAAGTCCCCTTTAACTATACCATGCTTATGCTAATTAGTAGCTTGGAGGATTGGTTGCCAAATGAACCAAATAATTACAGTGTTCAGCCTCACCTCCCCACCTCTGGGAAGGGATGGGGTCAGTTAATCACCCCATGGCTAATGATTCAATCACTAATTGGTAATAAAACCTCCATAAAACCCCTACCATATTCAGAGACTGGGGTTTGGGGTAAACATCCCTGTGCCAGGAAGGTGACACATCCCAAAGCACCAGAGATGCTCCCTTCTGGACTTCACTCCCTGAATCTCATCATTTGTATCCTTTGTAAGTCACCAAGTTTCTAGCCATACAACCCCACCCCACACTAGGTGAACCTTTGGCAGGTGAATAATCAAACCAGGATTAATGAACATGAGGAACACTTGCAATTAGCACCSGAAGGGAGCAGGTAGTCTTGCAGGACTGAACCCCTAATTTACAAGGTCTATACTACCTTTATGTAGCATCAGAGTTGCATTAAAACCCAAAAGTTAGAAAAATTTCTTGGCATGAGAAATCCACGTCAAAAGTATTCCCTTTTTGAACACATCTTTTTTGCACAGCCTGCACCATCTACTGTCATTCTTGGTGTTGTCTTCTCTCGTTATGCCTGTTCCTACGCTAAAATCAAGGGAAAACACCAAGACATAGTATGGTCCAAGGGAACAAGTGTTTACATTTTTTCAATGATACCCAATTCTAAAAAGGATTCCTACTTTTTGCCTAGGTTCCAGCACAACATGCTTCCTTGCCCTTGCTTAAGCAGTTTGAACCTGGCATCTTAAACTCAATTCAAATGTTATGCAACTATTGCAAAGGTCACATAAGATCAGCTAGTCCAGAACAGCACATGACTACAATCCCATTAACTATGGAGGCTGAGGCAGGAGTTAAAGACAGACTCCCACAACTTGGACATTCTCAAATTGGGGGACAGATTGGGGGGAAGGCATGTCGCTCAGTTAGTAAAGTGCCCTTGGGTTCAATCTCCAGCACCAAAAAAGTGGGGGGAATTCCAAAATGACTTGGCCTCTAATGCACAAATAATGCCAACTGACAGATTTCACACCTTAGTGAGGCACTCCATTTCACCACCTCCTGGCTYAGTTTCCTGCCCTGAAACTCAATAGTATACTACACATTTCATAAAATTTATATCAGCTTCTCAAACCTTAATGAATGTATTCACATGAATAGGGAATACTGTTAAAATTCAGAGGCTTTGAGGGAGACTTGAGGTTCCTTCCACTTTTCCTCAAACTCAACAAGAGGCCTATATGAACCCAATATATTGTCAATTTATGGACTTGATGAGCAASGCTGACTTTAAAGATACCCCCCTTTCCATTTAAGACTTGTTAAGGAATTAATACATAATAAAGACAAGACAATAAAAATAAGTAATTTATTAACAAATATACAAAAACACAAACACAGTTCAATCACTGTGTCTTACAAATTTCAAATTTCTGTATAACCAACTGATATTATACAATATTTACAAGTATTTACAAAGACTCCCACCTGTATGTAAACTCTGGTCCATTTGTGCTTTCATATCTTAAAGAGAAACATAAAATGTTAATGTTTTTAACTAGAAAGTATATGTACCTTTTCCTATTGATTTTTAATTAACAAATACCACTATTAAATGACTCAAAGGGTGGAGTAATGCTAAAAACAAACTTGGAATAAAGTGCAACTTTGGCAACCTTAGTCATTAGTTTTCTTCTTTTAGACAGGTACCCATAGTCCATATGGACTTTTTTTCTTATCTATTTTTGGTGAACCTGAAGAGGTCTCTTCAGCAGCAGCTTTAGCTGTCTTCTGGACTGGCTTTGCTACAGAATTCTGTAAGACAATAAATTAAGTTAGCTTCTACCCACATTTTGTGGGTGTGGTGCTGGGGATCAAATCCAGGGCAAGGCAAGTATCCAACTGAGCTATATATCCCCAGTCCAGCTTCCACATTTTACACATTAAATAATTCTATTAGACATTATTAACCAAATGCAAAGCATGGACCTAATTTATAACTTRGTTTAAACTGTAAAGCCAAGAAACTATGGGGGTTGGGGAGACAGGCCTACACAAGCATCAGTTTTTTTGAGATTTGCTTTTAAAGCCTTTAAAAAAATAAAATCAGGGGCTGGGGATGTGGCTCAAGTGGTAGCACGCTCGCCTGGCATGCGTGCGGCCCGGGTTCGATCCTCAGCACCACATACCAACAAAAGATGTTGTGTCTGCCAAGAACTAAAAAATAAATATTAAAAATTCTCTCTCCTCTCTCACTCTCTCTTTAAAAAATAAATAAATAAATAAATTCAGGCTGGGATTGTGGCTCAGTGATAGAGTGCTTGCCCAGCATGTGAGGCACTGGGTTGGATTCTTTATTAATAAAGTTAATAAGATAAATGTCTACATATTTCAAATAATATTCTAAACCGAATTTTTGGATAGCTAATGCATTAATATACTTACATTAGAGCTAAAAGCTATGTTTTTCTGCTGGGAAGATTTTTCACTGGGATTTTTAGTTCCATCTTCTGTTAACCTTTCCGACATCTAGACAGGTAAGAGAAAGACATTTCAAAAAAACCCATCCTTGGTTTTTWAAATAACTGTATAAAAAGCCTAGTTGTATATATTACAAATTTTGTTGTAGACACACAAATCAAGTTGAATCTAACACCATATAGTTAACAGCCTAAACAAGATAAAACTTTCCACTTAGCAAACTGGAATATACAGCAGTAGATTAAAAGGCACATTTTGCCAACAATATTTTCTTTCCCTGCCACAAATCCAAGTAACTTTTAAATGTCAAGACATACCAGAAATAACTAGTTTCAAGGAACTAATAAGACATTTGCCAGTTGGGTACCTAATCAATACATGACTCAACTAAGACCTTACTTGTCTACTAACACTGAACAAAACCACACCTGGATCCTAATGATAGATTTATTCTATCAATTTCTACCTTATATCATTTATCAATTTTAAACTTTAGATTTTCACATTTAACTTAGAAGTACAGTGTAATTTGCCAACACACTTCCTGCATATTTCTRGAGAATTATAATAAACTTATCTGCAAGTGAAGCAGGACTCCTCTTCTGCAATCTCTCAAAACATCTGGAATATATTGCATATATTATGAACGGGACATCTATACCACAGATGCCCCACCATTATAAAGTTTACCTTTGCTTAACTTAAAAACTGTCTTTAATACCTTATGCAAATGGAACCTGTCACATTCTAGCATGCACATGGAACTACCAACACAAAACTAAGCTTTTAGTGTGTGAACAAACTTTAGTTAAACCTCTGATGTTTTAGCCCATGTATCAATTACCAACAGATTTTCTTCATCATTGTCTGGAGACCACATTCATGATTTCTATAAGACAGAAATAAAGCAGATAAACTATACTGTATGCTGAGCACAGATATGTGGGAACATAATCCTGCAAATGAAAGCTACAGGAGAAAAATAAAGACACTTGTCTATAAAGACCGAGTAGGGCAAACTTGATACAGAAATCAGTACCAGTAACAATATATTCAAAATAAAATTCATTATCTCCCAATTTCATGAGTGTTGATACTGTCTAGCATCATGGATCTATTTTGTTATTGGCAAATTTTTCATAGCTAGACTTCCCAAGAAGTGTAGCCCAGAATAAATAAATGAAATGGCTTTTCAGATCTTTCTGGCAGTAAGTAGCTTTAGGAAGAAAGCTGGTACTTAGAATACTTACCTCAGACTTTACACCATTACGTGGTACATCTGCTCCATGGCTTGTTTCTTTAGCTGAGAGAACAGTTCTCAGACTAGCTGGCAGGTCAAAGTTGGTTGTTCCTAAAGCTTTTGCTGCATTGGCTTTTGCTATTTCTAACAGCTCCATTCGATCTATTTTTAAATAAATAAATAGCAAGACATTTGTTAATCCTGTAGCAATCTCCCCCAAAAAACTAAGACCCACAAAACAAGCTTGTTTTCCTTGAGAAGCAAAATTCTTTACCTCATTTGGTATCAAAAGCATTCCTGGATTACCCAACAATTCATTTTTCCAGATCAAAAACCATAATTTGTATTTTATTTCCGAACACTAGCAGTCTTTTATTATTTACCAATAATTGATGTTACAATGTCACAACAGTTCCAACTTAAGTATTTCTACCTAATTTTGTAGTTCTATCTAGGATACCAAGTCACTCATTAAGACAAGTTCAATACTATTTTGTTCATCAATACAATTCAACAACTAAGTAGTTAACATTTAAAAAACCGTATAGATGCCAGGCCCACACTTGTAACACTGAAGAAATCCCAGAGGCTGGGGAGGCTGAGGTAGGATCCCGAGGTCAAAGCCAGCCTCAGCAACAGTGAGGTGCTAAGCAACTCAGTGGGACCCTGTCTCTAAATAAAATACAAAATAGGGCTGGGGATGTGGCTCAGGGGTCCAGTGCCCCTGAACTCAATTCCTAGTACCGAAAGAAAAAAAAAACTGTACTAAGTACCATCAACCACAAGGGAAAGGGTTTCCTAGSTTTGAACCATTAACGTCACAGTTCAAAGAGAAAAAATTTAGTCAATTTAAATGGTACATACCATTTACTACTAACCAGCTACAGTTTTCCCTCTAACAAAGAATTTGAACGACACAACGTTGGCTCCCTAGGGGCTGGGGACATTGCTCAGTTGGTAGAGTGCTTGCCTCGCGTGCCCAGGGCCCTGGGGCCAATCCCCAGCACCACCACCACACAAACACCTTTTTTGGCTGCCTAGCCTACTCTGTCTCCACCCATGCAAAAAAGRGAAGTTCGCTGTGCTCTGAGCCCAAATGCCTCACCTTTTTCGGTTAAACGAAACGGGGTCCTGCTGCGCGACCGGGTCCGGGATCTCTCCCGCCACCTGCTGTGCTCCTCGGGGTAAACGGTGCGGCCGAAGCCGTAGTAGCGCCGCCCCCGGGTGATGGCGTAGTACGACCTTCTGTAACACGACCTTCCACGGGAGCGCGACCTGCTCCGCGACCGGTAGGGCGAAGGCGAGCGGTGAGACCGCCGCGGCGGCCCGTAGCGCCTCTCCCGGTACCGGCGGCCGCGGGAGCGCGAGCGGCTCCGCGAGTAGGACCGGGAGTAGCGCCGGTACTTGCGCTGGTGGCGCCTCCGGGAGCGAGAGCGCGACCTGCTGCGCCTGCGGGGCCGGCTGCGGCTCCTGGAGGACGCGGGGCTGGAGCGGCGCGTGTCGGACCGGGAGCTCCCGGACGAGGAGCGGCTCCGCGACCGCGACGACAGGCGGCTGGAGCGGCCCGACCGCGAGGTCGCGGGGGAGTCCTTCTGCGGCGAGCCGGGCCACATGTCGTTCACGTAGTTGGACATGGCGCCTGSGGCCAGGGTTCCTTCAGTGGAGCGCGCGCCTCCGCAAGCTCACGGCCTCTGCGACAGTGGGGGCGAAGAACCAAAGGTCAGGTCCCCGGCGGCGAACACAATGCCCCAAAGGTACCGCGGCCTTCCCGCCGCCGCCCGGTCGCCCGACCCGTCCGGTCCCCAGGCACCCGCGCCCAGAAGCGCAGCCTGGAAACTCACCGCTGGCCGTCAACACCTAGCAGGACGGAGAGAAAGGCCCAACGGACGGCTCCCTCTCCAAGCTCGGGAGGCTGAAGGTGGTTTTCCTAGGTCTTCTGGAATTCCTAAGACTGCAACCTTCACCTCCGACGTCCGGACGCCAACTGTGGGAGGAAGTTCGCAGACGCAGCGAAAGTACTAGAAGCTGGCGCCCGGAGCATGCGCAAAAACGTTAGCGCGATGGGCGTGGCTCTCCTGCGGCCCAACCGACACCCGGCCGCCTCGCTCCGCCCACCGCCTCGCGCTCTTGCCACCTGGATGCGCATGCGCCGGCTCCTACATCCGGGCATCCTGCTGCGGCTTTGTTTTTTTTTTTCGTTAAGTGAGAACTCGGAGCCGCGACCCGGGAGGGGGATGGGGGCGGCGGCTGGCGTGACCCGGTCGCAGTGTAGGGAATCCTCCCATCCAAAAATGTCCCTGTTACTGTGACGTGCAAACTAATGGCCCTTAAAGATACCCTGCCCTAATTTCCGGGAACCCGTGAATATGCCATCTGAACATGGCGAAAGGAATTTTGCAGACGGGAACAGGGTTGTGGACCGGGCGGTGAGACGACTCCGAAGCCCACGGCTAGGCCGTTTGGTCGCCGGTCGGCCCTCCCCGGAGGTCACGGGGAAGGCTCCCGCCGGCTCGGGCCGGTGACCGGAGTCAAGCTGGAGACCCGGCTGGCGGCCGCAGCGCTGCCCTCCACTACGAGGCGGCCTGGGACCTGTCCCAGGGCGGCGCCGGGTGAACCGGCGACGGCCCTTTTATTTCCAGGGACTTACGAATAGGTGCACCCCAGCGTTTTGTGGGAATAGAGCACAACGGTTAGCTTGAAAAGTGAGGGTTGATTGCTTTTCCCGTGCGGAGGCTTGACCCAGGAGCGTTCCAGCACCGGGCTACCCCCAAGACTTGTTCGTCTTTTTTTTTTTTTTTTTTTAATTTCGAGACAAGGGGCTGGGGATGTGGCTCAAGCGGTAGAGCGCTTGCCTCTCATGCGTGCGGCCCGGGTTCGATCCTCAGCACCACATACCAACAAAGATGTTGTGTCCGCCGAGAACTAGAAAATGAATATTAAAAATTCTCTCTCTCTCTCTCTCTCTCTCTCTCTCTCTCTCTCTCCTCTCTCACTCTCTCTTTAAAAAAAAAAAAAAAAATTTCGAGACAAGGCCTCACCAAGTCGCCCAGGTTGGCCTCCCATTTCCATCTCAGTTTACCCAGTAGCTGGGATTGCAGGCGTGCACCACCGCGCTCAGCATTAATTGATTTTTTTAAATTAAATGAACTAACCACTTAAGTAAGGAGCGTCCGACATCTGTATTCCTTTGCAAGTGCATTGTCTAAGAACCACTTGTTTTGGAGGAACGTASGAATGCTCTCAACTCTTGATCATCTTCACCCCACGTCCCCACACAGGCACCCATGTGGACGGGTAAGCACCTGAACACCCACGGACGTCATCTGCCTTGCTTTCAGTGTGCAGAGTGTCATCCACATCTTTGAGGATTATCTTGATGAAAACAATTATTAAAAATTGTTTTTTTCTAAAATCTTATCTCAAGCAAGATACAGTGCTTACTGTAACTTTCAGCAAACGTTCTTATGAAGCCTTGTGAGTGAACAGAAACATGACATAAATTTCACTATTTTTTTCTAACTGTAGAAGGACACAGTGCCTTTATTTATTTTTATGTGGTGTTGAGGATTGTGCCCAGTGCCTCACTCGTGCTAAAGAAGTCAGATTTAGACAGACAGGGGTACAGTTAGGTAAATGGAGTCAGCTCAGATGAGGCCAATTACAGGGAGTCCGGAAGTTGGAGACTGCCCCCTGAGGGATTGGAATGCCCCATCCAGGTAACCTGCTCCCTGCAACCTGTTGCTAAGGTAACCTGTCCCAGGAATTGCCCCTCCCTACAGGGAGCTATAAAGTTAATTAATGTGCTCCATCCGCCCCTTCCCCCTTCAGCCCACCTGGCTCCCACCTTTTGGCCGTCGGACAGAGCATTCCTGGGCCTAGTTACATACACAGGAAGGAAAAAGGTAAGGGGGAGAGGCTAGAGAACAAAGGAAACCTAGGACAAACACCTCGATTCTGGGGATACCAGGATACCAGCTGTGGCCCCCTTCTCCTCCTGGGAGAAGTCTATTGATACCACCAGTAATCGGTGAGGAGTCCTGCTTCCTCACATGTTGAAGTTTGAACATTAGAGAAGCACGCCCCGGCAAGCATATGAAGCAGGGTTTATGTAAAAAGGGGTAACAGACTTTATATGTCCTAGCCTTCCTTTGCTCTCCTTCGCTCCTTATCTTTGTCCCTACTGCAAACGTGACTAGAACCCAGGAATGCCTAGTGGGACGGCCAAAAGCTGGGAACCAGGTGGGCTGAAGGGGGAAGGGCAGAATGGTGCAGCCCGGGACACCTTAATTAACAACTTTATAGCTCCTTGGGGGAGGGGGGCAATTCCAAGGACAGGTTACCTTCATCACAGGTTGGAGCTGGGGCAGGTTCTTGGTAAGGGTGGAGGAAGGGCTCTGAAGGAATTAACAATTCAATTCCTCAGGACACAGTCTCCTCCTTCCCCGGACTCACTCAGATTGGCCTGACTCATCTGACCTGACTGGATTTATCTATGTATATTGACTGCTGTTAGGTGCTGGGCAGGCTGAACAARCGTTAGCTGCAGAATAAACCCTCGCACTCAAAGCACTCTCACCTCTTTGCATCAAGTCTAAACACTCCACCTCACTCAAGGCTGAACACTCGGCCCCCACCCGTGTAGGGCAATGGAAACCCAAATCTAGCCCCTCCCTGTCTGCCTGAAGGCAGAAGATGACGCTATTGTATGATCCAATCAGTGTATGCCAACAAGGCAGCTTGCAGACCCAGAGACCCCATTAGATTTGGGCTATAAAAACTCCCTCCTGGGGCTGGGGATGTGGCTCAAGCGGTA